CAGCTCGGGTACCCCATCCTGGTAACAACATCATGCTTGGGGTTTGTTTTCCTGACACTTCCACAGGTCATGCCCCTGCTCTGTTGCCCCTCTGTGCCAGCCCCTGTGTGTGACGAGTCACTGAGGAGCTGGGCTGGGGGAGAACATCATTTGTACCCCACAAAGGCTCAAAGTTCTGTTAGCACTAYCCTCTCTTGAGTTCCTGCTGTTTCACTGCTATTGCTTCTAGGGAAGAGAAGGGCTTTTGTGGGTTATGGAGAGTCCTTGGCTGATTTTCCCTCCTCTGGTGCTGATCAGTGCCTGGGACGCAGAGATTCCACAGCACTGATCACTGCCAGGGGTTGTTTGCTCACGTTTGGAACAGMCCCGGGACCCCTTTAGCAGAGGGGAGTTCCCCACTGGCAGACATCTTCCAGCCATGGCACAGGATCAAGGGCAATCTAAGGTCAAATTTTTGGGATGTTTGCTAAACAGAATAAGCTATATATAACTAACTCCACCCTGGATCTATCTAATTTTTAGCTAAAATGTTGAAAGCACGTTTTGAAGGTCAGTGCTTTTCAGCCTAGGCCAAAAGGCTCAAAACTGGAAACATAGCAAAGTTGTTGAGCTGATCTGGAAAAGTGTTACAGTAAAAGAATTCCTGTTTGGAATTAGCTTTGTGCAAAAAAATGGTTGATTCCTGTGCAAGCCCTAAATAAGAGTGCAGGCACAAGAGTTAAATTGTGTCTTCAGGGCTTTGCTGGGAGCCTGAAAAATTGAGATTGCTTTGTGAAAGCAGAAACTGCTCCTCTTGGAATGATACAGCACAACCTGAACATGGGCTGACTCGAACACAAACATTAGTCTGATTTTTAAAGGCAATTCCTGTTTCAGCAGCATGTTAAATAGTGTGTGGATTTTTTTTAGTTCCTTTCCTGCTTCCATCTTCCCTTTTCCTCAGGCAGAGCCCTGCGGCGCTTTCTGGCCCAGCGCTGGGTGTGCTTTGATTTGGCATAAAGCACGTACAATGACGGTTCCTCACCGAGAAATGAGCAAAACCCTTTGGACACAAATGGCACCTCCTTTTGTTTTGTAGTGTCCCATGGTGTCATTTTCTGTGAAYGTGGTCAGAGCTTTTTGTTGGTTTTGGTTTGTTTCTCCCCCCCGTCTTTTTTGTGGGGTGGGCAGGGTGGGGGGTTAAAGCCATAGGAAGAAAAATGTGATGTACGTGTCCAGTCTGTACTTTTTTGTTTTTGTTTTGCAAGAAGAGTTGAAAAATATTTTTGATAATGAGTAAATGGTGGAAAATGCTTCTTAGTATTCTTGTCTTTATTTGCCAACCCAAGTACCTAAGATCTGTGTTTTTTAGCCCTCATGAGATTTAACAATGTCCTATTAAAATGTATTTAGTTAAACTTGTATGTGATTTTTGTGTTGACCCAGAGGGATCCTACCAGTCTCTAATTTGGTGGTTTGATCGTGACCTACTAATGTAAATCTGTTTATTAGTCCACTACGTGTAAGCGAAGTAGCGACCCGGAGTCTGGGAGTGGTTGCACAGCACGGGTTGTGTCGGAATGCTTTTGCAGAGCTGTTCAGTTTTACCAAGATTGTTGATGGTACATTTTTAGGACTTTCATTAAATTAAATACAAAGTACCTTTGCTCCAGAGATGTGGGAGTATTTGGAATCTTTACTATCTCACTGCTGCATTCAATGTGGTACCAAAAGTTGGAGAATTTAGGTCAAGAGTGTTTTGGAGCATCGACAGGAGAGCCCTGATGGTTAATGTAAAATTGCAAATGGTAGATTCAGGTTGTTTCTAAAAACATTTCCTTTTATGCTGCCACATTCTTGAAATGTATATTAAAATTGAAATTGATTTAATAAATGTTAGTTTTCTAATTCTATTTTGCAACTGCTGAAGGCATCAGTGTGGCATATGTTGAACTCACTGTCTAAATACTACTTAGTGTATTGATGRCTAATTCTGTAATTGTTTAAATTAGGGTTGGCTTGGTTTGGTTTCCTTGCCCTCCTGGCTACTTGTTTGTGAGCTGAGCAATGGAAAGGATCGTCTCRGTGCTGACAGGAGTTCCAGCGGTTCCAGTTGGGAAAGCATTCCTTCCACAGCAGCTTCCTGGTGTGGGGCCTTCCTGCCTTGGCTTGGGCAGAGAGAAGGGTGAGAGCAGCAGATGTCCCTGTTGTCCCTGCTGAGGAGCTGGGGAGTCATTGGTGGGGGGAAGCGGCTCAAAGATTGTTCAACCCCCAGCCTGGCCCTGGCAGGGCTGCCCAGAATTCCCAGTGTTCCTCCTGGGGGGGTTCTGGATCTTGGAAGCTGTTTCAGCCTTAGCACAGAGGGAGCTGCTTGGGGATTTCTTCTCACAGAGGAGGTGTGTGATATTCCAGTTTTCTTCCCAATCCCCTTTAAGGCAKGGATTAACTTCCAAACTTTATTAAAACMCTGTAATTTGTAGAGCTGAGTCAGAAAGAAAAAGCAGCAGTTTATGGTCACATGTAGTGGTACAAAACCCAATGCTTCGGACCATCCAGGTCTGAACATGGATCTGAACAAGGAGRAGCCCTCTACCCTTCCACCTGAAGTGGAAAGGCTCTTCCTGGGTATCACACATTAGGATGTTGAGAAATGTTCCAAAAGACAAGTCAGCGTGGCCCTTGGTGGTAGGGYTTAGTGGGCAGGCTGGAGCTCTGTCAAAGATTAGACTTTTTTTTTCTCGATGGGTTTTTTCCAACCTTAATGGTTCTTTGATATCTCAGAGGTTGGGATTAAATCCCAGGGGAGGGGGGATGGGAAACAGAACAAAATGACCGCCTGGATGTGTTTTCACGCTGCTCTTCCAACAGGAGCTCTTCTCACCCCCTGGTTCTCTGACCCCATGGTGCAGAGCCAGGGACACTGGGGGCACAGCAGCCTCTCCCTGCAGATGTTTTTCCCTTGCATGAACATCTGAGCTGRAAGCATTCCCAGGAACCGAGGTGGCAGGGAACAGCTGCCGCCTGCGCACAGGCTCCTCTCCTTGGTGCCCTCAGCACAGCCCGGGGCTGCCCCTGCCAGCCCCAGCATTTGGCAGTGCCAGAAAAACCTGCAGAGTTAAAAGGAAACAAACCCGAAAAGCCTGTTTGCCAAGGCAGGCACTGCTGGCACGGCAGGGAGCTGCTCCCTCGGCGAAACTCCGACACTTTCAAGGAACAGATTCCACAGCTGTGGCACAGGGATGGTGCAGAGGTTCTGGCGTGACCAGCACAAAAGCAGCCCTTCCCCAAACAYTTCTTGCTCCAATTCTGTACCAGTCAGAAAAGAGCTCTTGACTGCTAACTTGGATAACTGAAAGGATACAAAAAAGCACCTTTGTAAGGATCAATCCAAGTGTGTGGCACGGCTGAAGAAATCCCTTCTGAAAGGTAGGTGATGCTATTTACAGTACTACCAAGAACATCACAGGCACATTTTCGGTTGTAACTATTTAAATTTCAAAATTAAAGTGCTTTTGAYACCCTGAAGAAATTCACCAAAAGGTGACTGTTCTCTAGACACCCCTTGGTGCAGCAATACAAGAGCAATGACTATGCTTGAGAATGGCATRTAAGTAAATTAGAAAAGGCATTGCTGGTTTTGTTTGGTTTTTATTGTTGGTCTCTTTGTTTAGTTTGGGTTTTTTGTTGATTCCACTTCCAAAAKATCCAGGAGATGTTAAAATTAAGGAGCTGGATGTTTTGGTAAGTCTTCAAGGACAGTACTCCGCATTGAGGATGCAAACACAGTGTCAGGTAAGTGGTCAGATTGCTTTGTCCCAGTATTTTTGAGAAGAAAGCCTGGAATTTTGGCTTTGGAGGGCATTTGATGGCAGGTAACAGGGTGATGTGAGCTCACCATAAATTGGAGATTAGGGTTTTTCCTTTGTTTTCTTTCTCTTAGGGAATTTTTATCCCATCTGTTGCTAAGACACAATAACGACTGGTACTTAAAGAGGACAACGGGCCCAACTCCGGGGAGGGTGCAGCCTGCTACTCGCTTATCTGGGTGGTTTCTCTTGGAGGGACAGAGATACCACGGCATTTGGGCTGGGGAAAAGGCGCTGAGGCAGCTTCTGGCTCGCCTGCTCTCCGGGCATTCGGCGAGGGGACACAGGCTGCGCTCGCTGCGGGAAGAATCCAGCGCCACCGCTGAGTTCCGTCTATTTTGCTTCTACCGTGAGTGAGCTCTGTWCATAAGCACAGCTACTGAACACCCTAACCCTACCTCACTGGAAAGGACTCTCACCATCTACTCGGGGGCTACCAGGGGAAACCCAGACCACGAACCCTCCCCACCCTGAGAGAGCCTCTCCCGGTTCCGGAGTGGCTGCTCACCCCGCAGGCACCCTCGCCCGCCGAGTCACACCACGGCTCCTGCCACAGCTGTGGAGCTCCTGCCACCTGTTGCTCACTGCTCTGGGCAAGCCAGCTCCCGCCGCCGCAGCCGCCGCTCGGAGGTTCCCGCTGCAGCCCATTCCGTCGTGCAGCCCGCCCGCCATCACCGCGTGAGGGAGAGTGGCGCTGACCCCGCGCCACAGCGCCCCCTGCCGGCGGGGAGGAATCATCGCCAGCGCTGTCGCGCCCCCTGCGGGCGCGGAGGAACCACCGCACCCGCCCTGCGCAAGCGGGACCCCCCGGCGCCCCCTGCCGGCCGTGACCGTAACTGCACCGAGAGGAGGGTGGGACACCCAGGGGGGCTGCTCTGTGCCTCTGTTTGGTGTCGCTGCCGYTGTTGTTTGTTTGCCTTGTTATCCGCACAGTAAAAAACTGTTGCTCCTTTTTGCATATCTTTGCCTGATAACTCCTTAATGTCCAAGTTATAACAATCTGGAGGGAAGAGGGGTCACATTCTCCATTCCAGGGAGGCTCCTGTCTTCCTTGGCAGACACCTGTCTTTCAGACCAAGGCACCACAGTGTTMGGAAAATTAATCCACAAGCACCAGAGGTTTATGTCCAAAAAGGAGAYAGAGGAGTCCCGCAACTTTATTCATGAATGAAGGAAGAGGTCATGGGCATTTCCCATGGGGTCTCTCAAATTCATAGAGGACGCAGCCTCCTTTTATCCCAATTTCCCGGTCGCTGTTCCCTCTCTCTTTCCCCATTGGCTGAGGTACTTGAGAGGTACAGGCTCCCCAAAACGCCTGATGAAACCCTCCTTCTACCATACACTGCCCCCTTTCAATATCCATCTCTGTGTCTCTGCTCAGGTAGTCTATTAACATAGACTGGGGTAAGCCAATCAGTAGAATTCCTGTGCAAATGCTTCCTATTGTTTCTATCATCTGCCAATATCAGCCTTATCTCACCCCAGAGTCAGTCTGTTTGTAAAGACACTACCTTCTCATTCCTTTCAACAGCAGGGAAGGAGAGTGGCACAGCAGCCAGAGGTGAAGTGAGCAGTAACACTCTACCCCACCACTGAGACCAGTTTTCCATTTTAAATTCAAAAGTCATTTATTTACCAAAAAGAAGTACATACAAAGTAAAAATACAAAGATCAAACCATGCCAGCACAAAATGTCTCCAAAGCTACTCTTACAAAGTCTGAGAATCTTTATTATTATTATTAAATATTCAGTTTCTAACCCCTGCACCCAGCAACACAGTGGGGAGCACACAAGGGGAARCTCTGTTTTTGTTTTTCTTTCAGTAGCTTGTGCTTGTCACTGAGGTTCAGTTTTGTTTGCATAGACCTAAGCTACTGATCCAGAAACTCCAAATCCATACTGTTACAATAACAGTTCAGTGAGCTCTGCACTGGTCTTTCAGGCCTATTTTGTTTCAGAAACTAAGCCCAGTACCTTGGTTAGAGYGTCTCAAGTCAGCTTGCTTCAATCCTTGGTTCAGGAAAGCAGGAAGGCTTTGGACTSCCTTGGTTGCTGTCCATGTCTGTTCTGCACCACTCGCCCCTCAGAGGCAGGAGGGGAGCTGGGGCATTGCCAAGGGTTCACTGCCAAAAACTGGGATGCAGCAAGTACTACTGAGATTTTAGAAGAAAGAGAAAATCCAACTAGTACCACACCAGCAGTAATCCCAAACCCATATCTCCCATCTTAGTACTGCAGAGAGAAAATATTTGTGGTACAAAAGTAAAAACCAAGGGGTTCATTTTGCTAGACAAAAGCAGACGAGAGAGAACAAATAAACACAAACATATTTTTATCATGCAAATGCTACTCACTTTTCTGACTACTCGTAAGGAAAAAGCCTTGGGTGTGAGCTGGAAGCGCACTGAAAAATGCAGGCAGTGTCCTTCCAGGAATGCAACACCTGCAGTGGCACTGAAGGAGAGGGAGGCAGTGCTGGAGCTGAGGGACTCCTACAACTCTTCTGGGCAGGGATTCTGGGCTGCTTTGTTCCTGGAGCCAGCTGAGCTCGGGGGCTGCTCTGAGCAGCTCTGCTGCCTGGGCACAGGCACCCTTGACTAGCCCAGAAAGAGCAAAGATGTAAAAGATTTCCCAAATTTACCTCATTTAGATCCTGCAGAGTTACAAACCTTCCATCAAGAGTGGCTGAGTCACAAATGGGGTGTAGAACACTTCCTCTGCTGATGCCTCTGTGCCTGCTGAATTGGGRTTATTTTCAGGTACTTTAGGGACAGAGAATGGATTTTTACTCTTGGAGTATTACTGCAGGTTTTGTACTACCACCAAGGCAGCAATGGCTTCTGCAGCTTGTCCTTCTGTTCACATAGAATGCAAAACATTTGCTGTAAATGAGTTGGTTGGTTTTTTTTATTGTGTTGAAAGCAGGGGCTGGGTTTGGACTCTTCTGTGTTGTAGCAGCACTGAACCTCTGTTGGCAGGAGGGAGGGGCTGGGTTTGGGCACAGCAGAGCAGCTACSAGCTCCTGACTCCATTGATTGAACCAAACCTTGGGAAAGCAACTGGTGAGTGTTCCCAGGCTCTGGGCTCCACTTTCTGCAAAGCAAGGCACCAGTTCAGGCTGCCAAGGTGTGAGGTGGGAGCCTGAATTCAGAGCTGGGCTGAATTAAAGGTCCTCTGCAAAGGGCAGATGAGAAAGACCCTGCAGTGGTGGTGACTGAGGCTTTCCAGAACTGGCAAATGGAACATCCCAGGACTGCTGTTGCTGGAGTGAGGACACAAGGGTTCCATTTCTGCCTAGAAYGGGGTCAGGTCCTTCTTACTCCTTCTGAGGAATCTCTTGTCTTTGGAGAGATGTACAGGGAGTGAAAGGCCCCTCTGGCCCATGGCAGTGAGGGAAGGGTGAACTCCTGCTGTGCCCAGGTTCTTCTTGGAAAAATGTGGCTGGATTGGTTCCACCCAGCACTGTGGGAGCTCCATCCYGGGTCCATTCCTGCAGTCAGCTCCTGGTGGTTCTGCATTTGAGCATTTGCAGAATAACCCCAGGTAAGGTTTTCCCTTCAAGGTTACGGCAGTGATGGAGATGGGATCCAGACCCACTGTATGCTTACTGCATTCCAGGGGCTTGTCCTGGTTTGCTCAGAGTGCTCCCTGCTTCATCTGTTATTATGGGATGCAGGTGCCCTGGCATGGCCTTTTCTAACAACCTGGGCATCCAGGGGTTTCCCAAACACCAGGTCCAGGATCCTGGGGCTTGTGTCTGCATCTGGTTGGTTCAAGTGAAACCTTGCTCTCTTCCTRATTTTCATGCAGGGAGAATTCCTGAGCCCAGGGAGGCAGCAGCACATCCCCGTGGGTAGAGGAGGCAGGCCCGGGGCTTCAGAGGCTGCACAGGGTGGTCAGCCCAGACTTGTGTGCTCATCACCCTGCAGGTACCGCAGGGACCCAGTCCCGTCCTGTCCCCGGGACTCGGGTTCTCCTGTGCTGAGCAGGCTGTGCAGCCAGGGAGGGCAGCAGAAGCCTGCCAGGAGCAGGGAGGCATCTCTGGGAATGCCAGCAGGAGGCACAGCCCGAGGCTGGCACACGGAGCTCACAGGARCCACAGGGCACACACTGGGCACGGACTGGGCACAGCTGGGAGAGTCAGATCTGCCCCAGCTCTCAAAGTGAGGCCCAGACCTGCTTGTGCATTTATGAGGGATAAAATGAAGGACTGGGAAGAATTTGTTCTAATCAGCCCGGTGCTGAATCACAGACAGCTCCTGCTCACCAGGAAGCACAGCTGCAGCAGAGTATGCTGAGAGCAGAAGCATCACTTGTTATTCTAGGGAGAAAGTTGGTTTCATTCTGCACTTAAAGCAAGAATTCATTAGTTACAGCATTTCCTCTCTCAGACTGAGAGAAAAATTAATTTTTGGCAACAACAAAGACTAATTCCTTTACTAGTTAAAATACTGTGTTGGTTTTYTCATTATCTCAGCTTAGTCTCTTGRTTACAGGTGAAAGAAGGCTCCAGGAGAGAGCACAGGAATGGATGGAACTGGTGCACACCAGGCACAGCAGTCTCAGCACAGCAGCTGAACAGCAGACATCTGTATTTGCTGTAAATACTCTACAAAACACTCCCASAAAGCAGAGATCTACACAGACAAAGCTCTAGCCAGAGGCAGATCAGCACAGGAGGGGATGCAGGACTGGAACAGGTAACTCACTCTCAAATTCCTGGAGAACATAGCATGGTGTAGTGCTGAAACTGCTCCCAGGACTGCAGCAGTGAAACAGTCCAGTGAGGAACCTGGGCACAAAGAACAGAGGGACTTTGCTCTGCCCATGCACTGACACATTCCATTTGCTTCCAGGACGTGAAGGAAAAACAGAACTTCATTGTGACCTGTGTTTTAGAAGATTTCTAGACACACATTTAAATTATTTTGGCAGCTCTTTTGTCAYTCCTGGTATAAAGCCAAAGGGATGGAGTGGCATGGGGCAGAATTGACTGAGAAATGACCACTGGAGWTGCTGCTTGCAGCTGTTACAAGTAATCATTAGATGCTGGCATTTATTGCACATCTGGGGACATAACAGAATTTATATATAAATGAAACAAGGTGCAATCACCATTTTCAGTGAATGTGCACGATAACGTATTGTAAAAAGCCTTTTCATAGAAATTACCTTATAGCAATTACACAGAAAGGGGTCTCAAGTTTCAGTGTACAAAATAAAGCACATTGTTCCAATGATGGATTTAAGGAAAACCCCCAAAGTGCCTTGGGACTGAATGCTCTCCAGTTTGAAAGACATGGGCTAAGTGTCTTCCACTTCTCTATGCTGAGAAATCTGAGATAACTAGTTTGTCTGACTTGTCTCCAGTTTCAGGGAGAGGTAAGACTTCATCTGTGTCATAGTCTTCTTCACATGATCTGCAAAGACAAAAGGKGTGTCGTTAAAAGCTGTATTTTGGTTTTCAGGGCAGTTATTTCAGTGGCTACAAAGCTAGCAGGCTAAAATGAGAGATGAGAGGTGAATCTTGAGGAGGAGATTCCTGGGACATGGGAAAGTACTCTGCCAGCTGACATGGACCTGTGCTCCCATCCAGCCTCATCTCTAAGTTCTAAAACTAATTCTCACTGGTGTTCAGCATTAGAAAACTTGAATCCAGCTTCAGTAACAACTGTCAGGAGCTTCCAGAGCCCCAGTTGCTCAGCATAGAAATAAAGTCATGCAGCCACATGCCCAGTCCCCAGAGGAGCCTTGGTTCACAAAAGCCTGGTTCCCAAAGCATCCTCTGGCTCAGGRGTGTTTTGACAGACACAGAAGAACAATTGTGGCCACACTCCCTTGCTCCTCTCCCCCTCAGTCTGGAGTTTGATGTCCAGGATTGACCATTTATGGCCCAAATTGGTGGGAATTTTCAGCTCAGCTGCACTATTCAGGCTGGTTGGGTTCTGTGCTCTGCAGCAMAGGATATGGCTCTGGGGCTCTCAGCCCATTCCTAGTCCTGAGAAATTATGTTTTTAAGATGCTTCCCTTCAGTCATAACACACTTCAGGTTAGTTTTGTTGAATTTAAAKTTCTTCCTTTTGTTCCAAAGCAAGGCAGCCACAAAGGAGATGCTGCAGCAGGTGCTCCCATGGTGAGCACAGGAATGGATGGCCCTTGAGTGTCCAGTGATACCCTGCAGAAAAGTCACCTCTGTTGATAGCCCAGCAGGGCTGTGCCAGGAAGGAATTGCCTTCCTGCAGTGCTGTTCCCTTGGCTGATCCACATGCAGGCACAGCAAACCCTTGGGAAGCTGTCAGGGTCTGTCCTTGCTGTGTGAGGGGAGACCAGCCCAAACCTTCCAGRACAATGCTGTCCTTTCTCTTCCATAAAGGACAGCACCTGCTTAGTAATCCTGCAACCTTCTGGATTCTTGCATAAGTGGGAGAAGGGAAACAATGATCTGGATCCTGCACCAATACCAGTTCTGACCACATGTGCTAAATCTGTGCAATTTGCATCCTTTTTTGCCTCCTGGTGCCTGTGGGGGTTGTGTGGCCCTGCCTCCCCCAGCAGGAATGGATTGGGAAAGTTTGGAGGTGCCTCAGCTTCTCTAATTTCTTCTTGGTTTAAAGTGATGCAGCTGAAGAAAACTTTGTATTTCCATTTGAGTGCTATTCTTGGAATATTCCTTTTGTACCTCCTTTTCCTTCAATCCCACTGCTCCTGTTAGCCYTGTCCCTTTCTCTCCTACACATGGAATGTGACTTCTTCCTGGCAYTGCACAGTCACCAGCAGCTGGAGCTCCATTATTATATTTTTTTCAGGCGTCTTTTGCTTCTGTACTAAACCCTTTCATGTCTGCTCCAAAAGGGGCTTCTCACTGTCCTTTCCCAGGGAGTGACTTTTCCACTCCACTTGTTTGCTCCTCAAGGCTCAGCAGTGCCTTTCCCATCTTGGAATAAAYGCTTTCCACCTTTACAGCTAAGGAGCTTCCCTGGGATGCTTTTGAACAAGATTAGCACTAAAAGTAATCAATCCCCTGCTCTCCCCTTCCAGGCCAGTTTCAGAACTTCACAGTCCCATGAAAACAAATAAGGGCTTGTGGAAGTTAAACACACATTCCTCAAGACTCGACTGTGACAACTCTAGGTTGTCCCTTCCAAGGAGGGGAATTTCTCCAGAGAATTCTTTGCCCTTCCTCCTGGCAAACACACATTTTGGCTCTGGTTCAGCAATGTCCTTGTCACCCCTCTCCCTTCCTTACACTGCTGGGTTCCTGGAATGGAGCAGTGAAGCCATCAGACAGGATGGAGGGAGAACAGTAACAATGGTCCAAGCTGCCCAAAGCAACACCCTGTGAGCCTGTGCTTCTGTGTCCCCTCTCCTCCGTCAGCAGGGTGCACTGTATGGTGCCCTGGCTCCCCATTGCTCAGGGGATGTTTTCCCAGCAGCAGCTGATAACAGACGCTGTTTCTCTTCCTTCTCCTTCCATGTAGAAAGATCTCTTTCCCTGAAGGCAGCGGTAGTTTTCAAGTCCAGCAGCTACCTGAGCCTGGGCTCTGGGACAGYGAACCAAGCAGTGCCCACTGCTGCCCTGCTGTCCTGCATCATTAGATGTGCATCAAAGCATGTGCTGGCCAAAGCCAGCTGCTGGTGCTGCTCCAGAGCAGCGTGTGTCCCTCTCTCCACAGAATCCCATGCAGGTCAGAGAGCAGATGTGGCTTCCAGTGAAATGTGATGCTTTATTTTTGTCTCGAGCACAACACTGTCCTCTTACTTTWGGTGACTGCAGCTCTCAGTGGAGTCCAGCCCCTGGAAGGCCCTGGGAGTGTCCACTGCCTTGCTGAGATTGCCATTCCAGGAGCAGGGCTCTCTCCTAGGCACACCTCAGCCAGCCAGACACTGACTGGCTTTAGAAACTTKCCTTCCAGAGATGCAGGGACAGAGCTAATCACAGATGTGGGACACGCCAATGCATCTGTGATTGCTGAATGATGGKTTTTTTTCAAATGTACTCATAAGACAAACACAGATTTTCATGTTCTGACAGCTAACTTARCCAAAAATCTTCCCATCTCTCCCTGAGCTCATCAGGAATTGTCTTGGTTCTGTCCCTGCTCCCTGTTTCTGCCATCCTCAAAGGACAGCAGAAATAATGTATGTGCAAAAACTCAATGACTCTTTCTGGCAAATTTGTCTGGGCATCCAGCTCTTTGTTTTTCTTTTTCCCTTCCTTTTTTCCTGCATGATCTGTTGCTATGCTCCACAAATGAGATCTAATCCTGCTGCCATGACTACAGAGCTTTTCAGGGGMTCTTAAAAGCAAGCAGCCAGGTTGCTGACATGTTCTTTGCAGGAAGACACAGAGCTGCTTCAGACCAACTTCAAAAATCTGACATCACCTGTCGCTTTTCCCGTTGTTTTGGGACTGGGAATTAATGATCCTGCACAGCTTTAATGGCAGCCTCCTGTTTCTTTTCTGTGCTGAGGACACAGGTGTTGCAAAGCAGCTGCAGGRAATGCAGCAATCTCCTCTTTCATCCTGCCCTACCTCATCTTCCCTTGTGAAGGCCACAGGAAGGCCAGGCAGCTCAGAGGGCTGAGGGAACAGCCTGTTGCTGTTTGCATGCACAGGCAGAGAGGGGAACAACTCTCAATAGCTCTGCAAATCTCCGTGGCTAATTAGTAGSTGCTACTGCCATCCCAAGCAATTTCCAGTGTGGGAAGTTTTGAAAATGATGCAATCTTCTCAATACCCTAATGGCTCTATAAATACTGCTCAAGAGTGGATGCAATCCTGAATCATGCAGGATTAACACAGGGTAAGCATTCTTTGGGTGCTTGAAAGAAATATTCTCAAGAGGATAATAATAACACAGACACAAATCTAAAGGAAGATTAGACTGAGTCTCCATTTATCTGCAGGAAGCTCTTGTACACAGAGAAGTTCTAGAGCAACTGCTCTGCCTAAATTCACTGACTGAAAACAGCCGGTGTGCCTGTCCAGAAGGCTGAAAATTGAGTGTAGGTATTGAAGAAACCAAGTATCTGAAGAAAAAGTCTCAATAAACTTAATAAATGATGGAAATACGGAAGTACAGCTGATGAAGATCACAGACTAATAGACATAAAGTTGGACTAAAAAAAGTCTCTGCTGGGTACAATAAATGTAACAGAGCTACAGCTCCTCATCCTTGGCAGTGTGCATTGGTCAATGTATGGCCAAGACCAGCAAAAGTTATTTGAGCTCTATTCCTGTATGGYGGCCAAAAGCAAAAGGCTTTGTCCTTCTTCCCAGCTCCCCTCCCTGGTGTGTGCAGCCCCCCAACACCACACCAGTGCTCCTGCTGGGAGCAGCTGTCCTGGGCCCACATGCTCCAGAGCCCAGTCCCAAGGTTCATCCCACTGCCCCAGCAGCTCTGCTGGCACTGGCAGCACTGCCCCTAGCAGACCCCAGCTGGAGGCAGCCGTGTGTGCCCAGGGCAGTGCCAGGGCAGTGCCAGGCCCATGCTCACCCCTCCTGGAGCTGCTCGTTGCCAGACTCCTCGGCCACCAGGATCTCATACTCCTCAGCYGCGTACCTGTCCCAGTCAGAGGGCTCGGGGCCATCGCTGTCCATGTCCTAAAGAGATCACACAGTCAGGGTAGGAGGGAATGGATGGAAACAGCCAGGCAAAAACTGCCTTCACTGAGAAACTCACAACTACCTTAGTGTTTCAACATCTGCACATAAAGAACTATGAAAAAATACCTCTCATGGTCTGTGAAGCTCAGCATGTGACCCAAGCTGCCAACAAACTGCATCTGCTCCACTTGAGAGATGCAACAACCACACATTTGCTTTGCTCTAGCTCAAACTGTGCAYTTTGTATTGGACTGAGGGACTCTGTGATTTCAAATCTGGCTATCAAAGGTTCATTGTAACAGATGTTTTGAGGRATTCTTTAGTTTGCCAAGTTAGAGCAGTTTGAGAGAAGACCACTGGATAACACCTCTATAAACACCTGGCCCTCTGCCATTTACTACAGGATGGGGATAATAAGTTATCTTCCTGATCCCACTTGACTGCTTTTATGATGATCCAGTTTAAATGAACAAATAAGCAAACAAACAAACAAAAAGGGTGGTTCTGTTGGGACATATATAAGCCTTGAATCATTAACTACAAAGTTTGTATTGGTGATTATGTGGGAACAGCTRTGAGGGAACCAGAGCTGGTTTTGGTATCCCCTCCACTTTTCTTTTTGAGCTGATAAGAGGCTTCTGGGAGACAGTCAAAAAGCTGTACTTGTGAAAAAAGTGTTCTTATATTCAGTTGGATTTTCTCTACATTCAGGAGCACTCCAAAACTCAGTGTGAGAAAGGCTGTATTTAGAAATAAAGGTGATTTATACCTTTTGCACTGCAAAGGGATCCCTCTGTTCATTGTCGAGATATTTCTCTAAATTGAAGAAAGTGTTGAAGAACACATGAGCCATTCTGCACCTCTTCAAGTCTCGCAGGGTTACTCTTCCTACAGAAAAAAACGACAGGATTGTGCTACTGAGTTCTTACAAAAGTTGTAACACCAATAGGCTGCAATATCACAAAACTCAGCCAATTATTCAATAAAWGGGTGTGTTTATTAGGCTTAAATCTCACATACATATGGAGGCCTTTGACAGTCATGTGAAATAMGATGGAATGTGAAGAGGGATGGCTCAGTTTTATGATGTAGACTGCCAACACATCCCACAGCTGGGAGCACACAAGCCTTGKTGCTTCAGTCCCAGGCAGATAATCCATGAGCTCTCTGGTTTTAGCATWTCAGAGCTCCTGATGCACAGCATCACGGCACAATGTGCGGTGATTTCAGCCCTGGGACTCTCACACAGGGCTCTGCCTGTAGATGGGTTTCACAGGGGCTTTACTTCCTCAATCCCCCACAGATGAAAGGGGATGAAAGCTGTGCCTGAACAGGACTTACCTTCCCTCTCTGGCTTGACGAGGTCCAGCATCTGGCAGAGCAGGTCCTGGAAGGGCAGYGGCTCGATGCCCATCACCTCCATGCGCTCGCACTGCTCCTCGTAGAAGTACTCCAGCTCATACATGGACAGCACGCCGTCCCCGTCCAGGTCCATGCAGCGGAACCAGTACTCAATGCTGGAGACAGAGCAGGGACGCTGTGGCACCGCACTGGGCACCCACACAGCAGCCACTGCAGCCGTGCTCATTGCCCTTACACCCCCCGAGACTCTCCTGCCACAGCTGGGCACACACCCAGGGATGGCAGCAGCCTTTGGGAAGGGTCAGGGCACAGGCAAACACTCCAAGCAGCTCCTGCTGGTCTCCCAGGTGCTCATGGCCTGTTTCTCCTGTACCCAGTGTCCTCTGCTGCAGCCTGAGGGGCTCACACAGCGCAGGGACCCCCTGTCTGATCCAGCAGCAAGAGTTGGCCACATAGAGCCAGCTCTGAGCCCAGGACACTGCAGGGACCCTGCTGAGGGACAAGGCAGCTGTGCCATGCACTCGCTGGCTCCTTTATACACAAGGCAGAGCTCTCAGGCAGCTGCACTCTGCATAGCTCCTGCCCTCTAGAGGGTCCAACCCTGCAGTTCTGGATTCTTCTCTAAGTTATCCATAAGATTCCTTGTGCTGACACTCATAGGCACATCTGGACCAGCCCTGCCCAGCAGCCTCCCACTGGCTGTACAAACCAGGTCACAGGCAGGTTTTACATAGTGCCACAATGAAGTTTCCTCACACACTCACTCCACCTGTGAAGGGATGTGCTCAGCTGCTGCCAGCACCACAGGAGGGTGTGCTCAGAGCCAGTGTCTCAAGGCACAGGGTGATCAAAGGCACTGGTCTGACTACCAAGACATTTAAWATTACAAGAAAACTGCTTCTACACAGGTCTTCCTCGTAAAAGGCAAAATTATTTGACCAAACATCAACAGTAAGATATTTTCTTCCCAACGATCTCCAGACCCCAAGCTGGTGCCTCTTTTAGAAAGTGGTAGGTCACAGAAGGTTTTACCTTATCTGTTCATTTCAGTGATTTTCCTAAGACACAGAAATCAATCTCACCTTGTAGCATTCCTTTTGTCTTCCTCTGAAATGAGGAGCCACACAAAATCGGCATAACTCATGCGCCCTTCCTTTTGAACTTCAGTGCCTCTAAAAGACACACCAGAAAAAAAAAATAAAAATCACCAGGCTCCTAAATACTCAGGAGATCATCAGGTATTTTTCAAGTCACTAGTGAGAGRAAACGGGGCATTGTCACCCCTTTAGCCTTACTCCCCCACACCCTGCAGCACAAGGCACTGCATTTGCTGCCTTTTTATCACAGCAGAGCTGAGGCTCATCTGCCACACCCACTCCCACAGCAAATCACTTTGCACTGACTTCAAAGTGCTCTCCAGCTATCCCTGTGCCATGTCTTCCASCTATGCCCAGTTATCCCACCCTATGGGATTTCCAGTTTGTTTTCTCAAGATACCCAGAAGTCTCACTCCATTTTCGGGCTGCTCCAGCTGGAGCACCCTGTTGGATCAGGGGCATTTTTGAGAGCAACCTGTACTTCTCAGCCTCACAGAAACCCCTTCCCTTCTTCCCCCAAGCAGTGTGTGTGCTGTTCCTCACCTCACCACAGCACCGCTGAATATCCGCTCAATGATCCTGTTTGACAAAGCTGGAAACAAGGAAAACACAGAGAAAATGAAGCTACAGCTCACAGCAGTAACTACAATCAGCTGTTCATGCTGAATCCACACAAATCCCCTTCCCATTGCTAAAACAAAGCTCTRCCTACACTGCCGTCTAGCCAYCCTCTGTTTAGCAGCATTTTCTAAAACCCAAAGGTTCTCCCAGAGTGTCTGCCTTTGTATCCTCCCAAACACCACGCTGTCCCACACAGATGGCAACTGTTATCTGGATCCTTGCAAATGGCCATGTTACTCCTCTTTGCTGCAGTGGGATTTGTCACACAGTAGAAGGAGACTATTGCAATGTGTACTGCGATATCAAGCAAAAAGGAACATATCAAATCCCACAAAACACTTTCTAGGAAAGGACAGGCTCTGGCAACTGCTGCAGGGAAGACAATGAACCAGCAGTGTAAAGGTGAGGCCATGCCAGCCGAGATGTGTGGGGCAGATTGTAATGGCACAAGCCAAGCAGCAGTACCCGTTCTGGGCAGGATTAGCACAGTGACCTCACCCTCSCAGGCAGCTGAGCCCACCTGGGCTCCTTCTCCATCACTCCTGTGGTCCTGGCACAGCTCTGACCCTCCAGCCAGGCAGAGCCAGCCCCACCCCTCAGGTGGCCTGGCACAGGTGACAGGCTGCTGGGCACTGCACACATGGCTCTCCCCTTAATCCCAGGCCTCTCAAGCCTGCTGTGCTGCAAATACTCCATCCTACACTGCAGCCTCCCAGCAGGGCCCAACATTCTGTATCACCCACCCCTCCCTCCTCACCCATCCAGTCCTGTGATCAGCACTGCAGAGCCCTGTGACTGCCACCTTCACCCAGAACCCCCATGGTCTCCCCATAAATGCCTGCACTTGGAACACGTGGACTTTTAGCCCTTTGTGGACTTATATTCCATTAATTTATCCATGGCCCTTGAACTTTCAAAATCAAATAGCATCTGCTCAACYCATGGAAAGGCAGTGCCACACTGAACTCAAAGAGATGCTCTCCAGAGTCCATCTGCAAGCTGAAATCCCCCAAGCTTCCCTGGACTCTGGAATTCCTCTCATGCATAACAAGATTGTACTTCAGCAATCTTTGRAGTTCACACAGGCTCTTCCTTCTTGTCCCTACTTCCAAGTTCCTGCAAAGCCCTCAGTAAATAACAAATGAGTTTCAGGACATTATTTCAGCCTGTCCTCCTGGCAGTGGACCACATGTGAACAGAAGGTCCATCTGCAGCTACTCATGCAGAAAATAATGTGTCCTGCAGTTTTGTGTCTAAGCCTCAACAACTCCTTCTCTAAATCAGCATTTCTTTAACAGGTGGATGACTCCATAGAAACCTTTTTTGAGGCAACAAATTAGCCAGATTAAAGGCAGGCTCTATTTTCAGTAAGAACATTCTATTTTCAGSAATGCCCTCACCCTGCCACATTTGCAGGCAGCATACCTTGGTCACTATACCTAGCCAGGTCCTTCTGGCTGATGTAAAGGTCATGGTCAGTGTCCAGCTCCCAGAATTTGCAGTATATAACATAAAAGTGCTCGTAGGAGAAGTAATCTGTGATCTGATTTATGTCATCCTCTTCTTCCAAGAGAGCAAGAGTCTGAAAGGGTACAAATAAAGTGGGAAGTTAAATGTGGGTGAAGACACAGCTCAGCAGCTGAAGTGCTCCAGTCTCTCAGGAAGGTGAACACAGCCCTGRGAACCAACCCAAAGTGCAGCCTTTCCCCAAGAGATACCACTGCATTCCTTTACAGGCACTCACAGAGCACCTGGCTTGGCCATCCTGCTTAGCACACAACATCTCTGCCACTCCTGTCAAAAACAATTCCCACTCGTTTTCAGCTGTAGTGAAGAGTGAGGCCAAGAAACAGGAACACAAACTGCTGTCAGCTGGGATCCATGGTCTGGGAAACATTTCTGACATGCACCAGAGACTCYTAGAGCCACTTCCAGCAGCAGGTAGGTCCTCTTCAGGAACTGAGATATGTGCTTACACATCACACACCCCTGTTTGCCTCCTGAAGGACAAAATCAAGTCTTGTCCCAGACCCACAGCTGGACTGGGGCAGGAGGGATGGATCCCAAACTGATTTCACTGACTTCCCTGTGCTATCACTGGCAGCCTCTTATCATTCTGGTTTAACTGGGAAGCTCAGAGACATTTCCAGCCATAACATCTGTTGACATGCCTTGTTAGGAAACATTTAGTGATAATACCCATGTTTCATTCCCACTTCACACCTTCCTGTCCTTGCCAGCAACASGAGGGCTCTGAATGTTTCCCAGTGTCACCTCCCTACTTTTCTTCTCAGTGCTGAGGCCACAGGATGCAGAAGCCTTCTTGTTTTACAAATAATGGCTGCAGTGAGCCATAGGCCTGGCCTCCTCTGCCCTCACAGCCTGAGCTATCCCAGGGAATGGTGTCCCCAGGCAGGCAGGCTCAGTGACCCTGCTATCCACAGCCACACAAACAGATGCTGTGCACCTATGCTGRCACCAGTATTTCAATACCAACTTCCAGCCACCTCCACATCCAAGGAATCCAACTGAACCCAAACAAAASTCTCACATCCTGCTATGTACCAGGCTCAGTGAAGTTTGGGGCAGAGGTAACAGGAGGGCACTGCCAGACCTGCACTGTTCTGACCTGGTGACACCTTTGGTCCATCACTCACTGCCCTCTCCAAACTGTGTGCATATCTCCCCCTTTTTGCACATAATCACTCCCGGAGCTTTTGCCCAAACTTTTTTTTTTCTTTTGCAGTTCACACCCAAAGATGCCATTTACACATGCAACAAAGAGCTGCTAACTTCCCTGCTGCAGGAGAGGAAAGGCAGCGCAGCTACAGAAGAAGACAAAGGGAGAGAGGGTTTAAAAGGAAAAAATGAGAGAATAAAGATGCAGGATAAGCTTGGAAGATTTATTTGTAAGAGAGACTGGGGAGCAACTGGGATCCCAGAGCTTGGRCTGGCATGAGCCAATTCAAAGGAGCACCCATTTTTCCATTAGCTGATGGGGTCAGCAGGAGAGGTGAYGTCTGAAAGGAGAAAACAAAAGGGGTTTGAGGAAGACAGCACACTGTGCCTGGAAGGGCAAACAGGACACAGGAGGGAAGTCTCAGTGTTCTAGCCAAGTCCTTCACCTTTCAACCTAAAGACTTTCTGGCCCTTTTGGTTGGGCTGGACATGAGCAGCCTGAGACAGTTTTACCCTGGTGYTCTTTTGGGCAAATGCACAGAGGACAGAGATCCAAATGTGCCATAAGGACACACTGCTGGCACTGAAACAAGAACTGAGCTCCATTCATTATCCTGTGGAGATCAATTCCCAAGGTGCCTCGACCTGCAATTGCAGAGATGTTCCTGACCAGCTCGCTTTGGGCTGAGRGCTGCCTTCGAGGCAGGAAATTGGCTCTCCTACTCCTGGCACTCCTGCAGCTCTTCTTGGCTTCTTGTGAGGCACTTCACATGGGTGTCCTGCTGTGTCCTGCTTCCCTTCTTGCTGGCTGGACCAGGGGCCAGGCTGCTCCATGTGGCCCCAGAATTGGTGCACRGTCACCCCCTGCCCTTTCAATGCCCCAGGGCCACTYCTGTCCCTGCTCTTCTCATGTCAGACACAGCTCTCCAGCAGCCCCAGCAGCCTCCAGGCACTGAGCACTTGGCTCATCCCAGGCCCAGCTCCCTCACCCTACAGCCACAGGAACAAGGTTTGCTGCACTCTGGATCCTGCTCCCACAGAAACCCACATACTTGCAAGAAGTTGCTTTTCCTCAGCTCTGTTAGAGTGATCTTCCCCGACCAGGATCGATTGACTGTGTAGAATATCCTCTGTATAACCTGCAACACATGAACAATGCTCTTGAAATCAACTCCTGGAACACCACAGTTTGGGAATTTAAATGCAGTAACGGTTCATTCCCTCACCTAAGGAGGCTTCTTTTTTAAAATTTGTTTTGTGATCTTTTTTGTAGACATTACTATTTTTAATTCACTACACAGTCAGAACCTTTGCTTCTTGAACAATGTTAYCCATTCCCAGTCTGCAAACACTTTCACTGTTTTTAAATCACCTCATTGGGCATGCAGATGTATTATTTATGTCAGGCAATGTGTTCAAAGTGCTCATGAATCACTTTAAAACWGAGTTTTTCAGGTTTAAGGAGCTGTAGCTTTCATGAATCCCCAATGAAATAAGGTTCTAGGGGGAAAAAAAGGGACTTCTGCTTCTTCTGAATCCTACAGAGGAAGCAGGACATGTAAATGAAAGACACAATTAATGTGTGACCTATTGTAACTRTAACAATGCCTTGTGTTCCCAGTGCCTCTGCTGAAAGTAAGAAGGAAAGGTTCTGTCTGCAATTCTTTTGGGCAGGTGTTAACTTCATTTGCCACCTTTCCAGATCTGCCTTTGGTGAAAGCAAGCAAAAATCATGAGGGAGGGACACAGACCCTCAGAAGCCAAAAGAAGATAGCTCGCAATGTGAGCCTGAGCTCACCCCCAAGCTCCTCAAACAGCAAACAGCCCTTCCCAACCTGCTCCTTGCTAGCCTGTCAAGTAACATCACAGAGTGGGGAAAACACAAATGTGTGACCAAGCACATGCAGGAACAAACCTATCAGGGCAAACAACAACAAATAAATATCACCAGCATGAGAAAGGAGGAGCAGAATTAATTTGACTATCAGCACTGAAATCTTGTTGACCAAACCTACTACAAACCTTTGATGTCTCTGACACATTGGCACATTACCCCAGAATTTTGGTAACCTTTGGTGCACACTATTCCAACAAAAAAGTTAACTTTACATAACAATGTGAACATTACAGAGATTAATGCAGCTAACAGATTAAATGGGATGGGTTTGTTTCTCATTCAGAACTAGTTCCAAGTGGACAACCACCACTGAAAGGCTGTCCTTGGACTCAGTCACACAACTGCTGGTTCTTAGTCCAAGAATGAGATTGCTCCCAACAGTCTGCTTTGGGACACACAGTGAGACAGTAATTGTTGATGGCACACAGCTCTGAGAGCAAYAAGAATGATGTGAGGATTCAAATGTACCCAGAAGAAAGAGAATTAATAGATTGAACTTAGCTGAACATGACACTGCAGGCTCTTCATSACTCAAGGCCTGAGAAGTGGATGTCCTTCTAAAGCTGGGTGTCAGATCTATYCTAACTGTGGCAATCATTGAGCAATATTCTGTGGCCTGTGTAGCACAAGAGGTCAGACTAGGTAACCACAATGATTCTTTCTGGTCTTAAGCACATTTGTTTCTTCTTTAATGCCTTTGGCAGCCACTGCTACTCTGGACTCTATTTCTGGACTTTGTTTGGCTTTTGCTTCCAGACTGCAYAAGAGCTCAGAGACTGGAGTGGCTCTCAGCTCACACATCACCCATCAGCACACCTGACAATTTTGCAGCAACTCTTAACAATACAGGGTGTTCAAACCATCCCAAGGACTCAAAAATAGCAWTCCCAAGAATCAGAAACAGACCCCATACCAGTAATTCTCCTTTTCCTCTACCTGCAGGGTAATAAAAGACAACAAACTATTCCCGTTTGTGACACATTAAAAACTGTTTGTCTATCAGACCACATTGATAAAGGTGTTACAGCTGGTCCTTCCTCACCCGTCTGTAAAACTATGCCAGTCAGAGATAAACTGGGCTCTCTTTTCATCTCTTACCACGTCCAGTTACTCAGTGTAGGCTTTACTATTCAAATAATGGTCCAGTTTCAGTGGATAGTACATAGTATATATCTCACTATAAAATCTCAGTACTTCTCTTTCTTTTCCAGGTTGTAAACACCAAGCTGTCAAAAAAAGCATTTGGGAAACATCCTAGAACAACCCAGCCTGAGATGATCTGCAGCATGCAAGGCACACTTGTGACTCARGCCATGGCTTAATTTTTCTGAGTTCAGTACATAACCACAGACCCACAGAACATCCTGAGCTGGAGTGGGGCACAAGGATTATGGAGCCAAACTTCTAATTAATTTTTGGAAGAAGGAGCCCCTCTCTCCTTGCCCATTATTCTCATGTTATTGACCTCCAGGCCCAAACCATTTATGGATGAGTTCCAGACTTTTCCCCAATCTTCCCACACAAGGACAAAAGCAATACAATTTCTGGACAAAACAGGAAGCTTTATTAACCCCCGTGGCCACTGTCCCCTTACACAATTGCATTGGTGCTACTGTATAAACTGAAACACTCTTCCACAAGCTTTAATTTTTAAGTTGTTTTTAGCTGACAGCTTKCCAAGAGAAGCACGCACTGCTAACTCTGAGCCTGGTTTGAACATGTGGGTAGAAATCACACTTAAAGCTTTACAATAAATGCCACAGGCTATTTTGTGATATTCTGTGATGTTCTGCATCATCTTCACCAGCTTCAGGAGTTGGACTCTGTTGAAACAAACACAGCTCGTTTAGTAAAACAGTGGCCAATAAAACAGATATGAGACACAAAATTCCAGCCTGTTGTATACAAAAGACACCTTTAAAAGGTGTTGAGGTGGCAATAAAAACTGAAAGGTGCATACACATCTTACCCATCCTAGACTGTGAGCTCACTCTCCGGGAGATTCAACCAAGTGCTGCTGTACCCAGCAAAGAACACAAAACCACATGTCCTTATGGCCCTCATCTGTAACACAAACATCAACTGTAATTCCTGGGTGGCAGCAAATACAGCATTCTGGCTCTGTAAGGAGGTTTGAAGCACTCTACCTTGAAGCAATCAAAATGATCCAAGTGGTCTCAAAATCCAAGGACAAAGCTGTTTCCTTCATTACCTCCTGGTGGAAATGCTGGATTTTGTATCATTAAAGAGGGATGTGCCAAACGGCCTGTGAAAGGAGAGGTGAGCAATAGGAACTCCTGCYATCAGAAAACAGAGCCACTGCTGCAGAGGCCAAGTGCTGCCCCTCCAGATGGGCACCACTGCCCACAGCCTCCTGCCTGYCCTGCTGACCCTGCTCCAGCCCAGAGTGATTCTGCTGTCAGCACARACCCCCAGAGCAGTGCTTTCCTGAGGGCTGAAGGACAGCTTGCCTTTGTCACCTTGCTGCTCACAGCCCTGGCCTCAGCCACAGGCACCACCATTCCCTGCAGCCTTGGCAACAAGCCTTGGAATGCACCTCTCCCAGCACTGCCAGAAAGGGTGCCCAAAGTCCCTGGCTGCAGCAGGAAAGCACAGTGGACACACAARCAGGACCAAGAAGCACTGAGGAGCTTCAGGTACTTATTGGAGTCTGGTTCTGTGACTTCTTTGGTGACACAGCACCGTGCCCAGGCACCAAGGAAGTGGTGGAAAARGAGAGAGGAAGGAAAAGGTGCTGCCCTTTATTAGAAGCCTGCACTTCAGTTATCTGGAAGTGGAAGCTCAGCTCCATACAGCTGGTATCAGTCACACCCTGCAGTGGCCCTGGCGAGTCCAGAAAGGGCAGTAAGGGTGGTCATGTGGGGATTACTCTACAAAGACATTTCTTGCTGGCCTGAAAAATACAGGAACAGTGTGTGACTTAAGAGGAACCCAAAAAGGCAGATACAGAGAAGTGCCTTTGTCAGCAGCCAGGACAAACACACATGGCACTGACCCATAGATACTGCAGTCAAAAACCAACTCATGTGACCTTAAACCTTTCAGTCTCACCCCTCCATGCACTTGAAACACCAAACACCAGGGTGCACAGGTACTTTCAACACTCACCCATTCACGTGGCTCCATAATTCCCTGGCTATTCCCATAGCTGTTCTGGCTTAATGTTTATGTTGTCTTGCTCCACAAGGACTAACTATGTTGATTATACACTGCTGTTCACTGTCATGTTCAAGYGCATCTAAAACATTTAGAATGGATTCTCATGGTACATTTTCATTAGTGTGACAGTTCAGGGTTTGCCCAGAGAAAGTGTCTTTGTACCATCTGCTCCTCACAGGGAAGGAACAAGCCCATGTGTGCCAGAAGCCTCCCAGCTGCCGTGCGTGGTGCAGCCCCAGGCAGGCCCTGGCAAGCAAACAGGAGAAACTTTAAGCCCTGAGCCCTGTCAAGATACCGCTCCCACCAGGGCTGTCATTATTTGATTTGTTACAGCTGTAGAGGTAAAACATCCCAATATTTATACCTTTTATCCAGATTCACACTGAATACRAGTCAAACCCAAGGCTTAAAAGAGTACAAATGTGTTCAGGTAAAACACCAGCCTAAGTGCTGACTACAGAGATGGAACAAAGCTACTGAACAAACCCCAGCCACAAACCCACTCACAAAAGCTTGGGCACACAGAGCCTGGACAGGCACCCTGACARGAGGAGGGTTGGACAGCAGCTCCCTGAAGGCAAAGGATATTTTGTGCTGGGGAACAGTCACAGATTCTCCAAGCCCCAGTGACAGAAACCTTCAAATAGCCAGCCTTCCATGTTTCAGCAGCCCAGCACAATTCAGCTCTCAAAGACCAAAGAACATCTTCATTCATCAGGCCAAAAACTATATTTTTATAGATTTGCTTAAGACCAGAAACAATCATTATTAACCTTCTGAATAACYCCTTGCACACACAGGCAGATTAATATTTCCTTTGGAAGCAGTTCTTAAAATACCTCATTGCCAGTAATATTAAAAACACCTATTATTTGAAATAACTGAAAGATTTGCTGGTGGGAGCAGTGACAGATCCCAAMGGGAGGCAGTGGCATCACAGGGGATCAAACAGGCAGCCTACCGTTGTGATATACCGGGAATGGAACTCCGGAGCATCCTTCAGGAACGTGAGGCCAGGATGTGTTTCCACCACATCCTGCAAGGTAAGAGAAAATGAGATGAAATAGATTTTCTTCTCCCTTTAAGGCTTAGAAGTTACTGGGTTTACAAACCAATAYTTTTGCTACTTGCAGTGTTAACGATAAAACTGAAATCTTTTAATCTATCAAGTGAACCTTCTATTATTGTAATATAATACACTGCTGGGCAAGACACACCTGGTGGGTCAGTTTGATTTATTTAAGGRCAGAAAAACAAAGGAAGAGAGTTAGTGAGTGCATGAAAACTCATTTTCATCGAACGAGACAAAAATTACTTAGTTGCATGGTCAACTATCTCCTCTCCAAGATTTTTGTTTTCCTCCATTCATTGAAGATACTAACATTTGGTGTCAGAAACATACATTCCTTGAGAAAGTCCCTTTTAYGTCCACAACAATGAAAGCTCAGAATGCTTACATTTATGATTATTGCTTTTCCAAAATTCTCTTGAACTACCTGTGGAGATGCCTTTTTCTCAACACCAGCTTTTTTAAAGCCAAACACTGGCTCACGATGCCAAATCTGCATGATCAGATCCGTGCAGAAACTGCTCAGATCCTGAATGAATTAGTTCAGCTCCTGTATGAATCAATGCCTGTGTAATTTCTCCACGTCTGACTCCTCTCCCCTTTCAAAGCGTTCCAGGTTTTGCTCTGCCTGTTCCATGCCACGGGCCCCTCAGGGGTATGATATGCCCAAATTTTGGGCAGTTTAACAGGATATCTCAGATGCTGGTRTAAATCAGGGTAATTTTGCTGATCTCTGGCTGACTGACAGACAGGACTGTGCACGCCTTGGATTGCACCAGGAGCTACAGAACAGAGCTGCAATCCACCAGGAAAGGCAGCGTGCCCAGTGGAGAAGAGATGAAGGGCAACATGAGAAAATTCACCCATCACAGCYCCAGTCCTGTCTGAGAGACACAATCAGCCAGCACAGAYAGAAAAACATTCCCCARAGCTGCATCTCCACAGAGGTCTTGSCCAAAGGGCAACACAGTGTGAGAAATCTAGGGATGCATGGAAAAGATCAGAAAAAGTACAACAGCTGATCAGAGGAGCACGTRGACTTGATTTATAGAAACACCATAGGGAAGACCTAGATGGCCACAAATAATTAAAAAAATTATACTTCGTCAAAAATTAATAAAAGGGAAAGAAAKACATTAAATCAGGAGGAGCAGATTTAGTATGACTATTAGGAAAAAAAATAAGCAGTGGGAATTGTGCACTAGCAGGTTTAGAAMAACTGGAACTGCAGAAATTTTGCCAAGATTTCCACATGATACTGTATCTGGTAGTCTGGCTAGGCAAATTCAATTATAACTGTCTTGCCAAGCAACATCTCCAACTTTTCCAATAGGCTTYATGTTGTGCTTGACTAACAATAGCAACAAGCATTTTTCCCCATATCCATGTAGAGCAATGGGGCAAATTTCAGCCTGGTTACCAGGCACTGATAAACACAAATCCTGACAAGAGACCAGCCCTCAGTGCCTTTRGCAGGATTTGCATCTGGTTTGGCACTTAAGYAAACCAGTCCACTTAGAATGCTCATTTCTATTTCACTCCAAAATGAACCCCACTCAGGTGCTGTTCAAACCAAAGGTCTGCTCGTCCTTGGTAAACATTTAAGGCCATGGAAATAAAGAAGGTGTCCAATGAATGCAGCTCAGTGCCCACCCCTCCCAGCAGAGCTGTGCCAGTACCTGGAGCAGTGGGATGAAGTCCTCCTGTTGCAGGCACTCACAGCCAGGCTTTGCCAACAGGGAAGTGAACCTGGAGGCATCATCGTGGCAGTTCCGCAGGATTCTGTGGGAGAGGGGAGGAGTCACTGGCAGTCCTTTGCAGCTCTCTGGCCTCCAGGAGCCACGGGCAGCTCACAGAGTCTAAAGCACCATACACCTGTGCTGGGAAYCGTGCAAAAGCTGCCCTCACACCACCAGCACCTCCTTCAAGGTCTTTCAGCAGCACCAGGGCACCCAGTGGGGATTTTTTCCAGCTTAACAGTGCTGTGGTAAAGCAGATTTCTCACCAAGCAGCTGTGGAATCAGAGTAAGTAAGCTGACTCTTGCCAGTGCTGCAGGCTCACCCAAGTGAACGCTCCAGCCCAATGATATGCCACAGGAGTGCTCTCCAGCAGAACCTTTTGCTACACTGCAGTATTTGAGGAGATTGCCAAACTACAGGGACTGAATACTCACCCAGAAAAAACACTTCTGAGAAGGAAAAAGAGCATCCCTTGTTAATTATGGCCCATATGGTGCTGAGCACCCAAGCCATGGAGAGCAGCCTAATGAAGGCAATACAGGCCTGAGTATTTGGGGAAGTGTGTAAACTCAGTCCCCTTTGGCTGACACTGTGCATCCAACAGACCAATTCTTTGTCCCTGCCTTCTTCTCACACAAAACACTGCACTGTCCAAAGGTATCATAGTTACCTGACTCAATCCAAACAGAGAAACWCATGAGGAGAGAGCTGCATTACACTTACCAAACACCAGTAACAGAACAGAACATTTGGATATATCAAACACTACATTGTTCACATAGMATAAGGGAAACTCGGAAAACTAAGCTATTTTCTTTAATAACTGTGAAAATATAAATGCACTGTTAATTATTTACTGTGATTATTCACTACCTTCCTCTCCTGAAAGTGAGAGTACTGAACTGGCTGTAGTTCTCCTGCAGAGATCAAACTGACTTGTTTCCTGCTAATTCTGGCCTCATCACTCTGGGAAAGGCAGACTTTACAAAAACGGGTTTTTTTAAAAACGCAAAAAAAGATTTAGCAATCCTGTTGTCTGTACATTCCTATCACGAAAACTGCCAATTAACAGATATATTCTAAATCAGCTAGAGAAAGAGGTGCTAATGTTTTAGTTTAAAAAAATCTGGCACATAAARATGAATTCCAAAGCCCTGTTTTAGCCATAAACAAAAAGAGCTGACATTCAGAAGTGTTTTATATTGAACAATTCCAGTAGACTTGAGGAAAAGTGAGCATATGGCATTTTGAAAGTCAGTCACCTACTAAGAAGCTTGAAAATAGGCTTCAGCAACTAAAGATACCTGGTTTAAAGTTACACCTCTGTTCACATAGCTGCAGTCTAACTTTACCAGGAATATTACATTTCTTCTTTTAGCTTTCCAGCAAAGATTTTTGTAACTGTCAGAGAGGGAGAGGAGGGAATTAAAAAAAAAAAAAAATCTTTCTAAAAGAGCAATTAAGTGAGAAAGGCATACAAAGCTTGGCTTGGAAATGGGGTGGTTAAAAGAATACAGAAGAGGGACATGACCACAGTCTGCAAATACCTGAAGGATGTGAAAATCAGAGAAGTGAAAATATGTGATATCATACATGAGGGATTAATTAGGAGTAATTGGAGGAACCTAAAGAAGTATGTATTGTCTGTATCAAGACAAACTCAGTGATCACAGTCACCCCTAATATTTTTGTAAATTTGCCAGGGTAACTGGAAGCTGTTTTAACAATATCATAACAGGAAATACTTTGGGAATTCAGGGTTAAAGACTAYGTCAAGAATCTGAAAAGCAACCAATTAAGTAAAAAACTTAAACTCTCTCTGGAGAGGAGATGGAGACAGTTCAGGTGTTTCACAAAGTAGACTAAATCCTGAATTGCCCTGGAGGGAGAAAGATTAGGCAAGAGAACAAGTCTGCTCCAAGTCACACCTCTGAGTTCAAGCACGTGGACATCCAGAGCTCTGTTCCCATGGCACGTGGAAGTGACTGTCAAACGCCACAGGTGAATTCCACAGCTTGCCTGAGGAAGGTGGCAACTGTTAAAGCTCCCGCAGTATCCAACTGTATGATGATGCTTTATGGCACATTCCTCTTTCTGTCCTGTAACACTATCACACACCTCCTCTCCCAGTTCCCAAATGGCACTTGCTCAGTGCACCAGTGCAGCAGCAATAAGGCCAGGGACGAATGCACCCCAAATTCACAGACATCTACCAGCTATCTTCAACAGCTGACATTTCTGGGGAGCTTGTAAATATMTTTTATATGCCAACTAACTCAAAACATCTTATTATCTATACAATTACTTTCMAGTTTGTTGATATCACATGGAAACAAGTGTTCAGAGAGTTTTGGGGGAAAAAGCTTAAGCTGATGGAGATTTTAATCCATTTAAAGAGCAGAAAAATTATTTTAAAAGTTTGATGGAGAAGGAGAGAAAAAAAAATACTTGTATGGCAGGCTGATCTATGTTTCCAGAGTTTTGCATTTGCTATACTCACTTCCTCCACATGGACACAAAGGAGTGCACAGAGACACGGCCTGTCCTCTCTCCTCCCGATGCACTGAACAGAGGTGCTTTCCAGTACAGTGGGCAGCCACAGATCTGCAAGGAAACACCAGGACAAAGAGGAATACAAAAGCAGTCTCAAGAGGAACCTGCTTGTTTATACACCAGACTCACCACTGAGCCTTTACATCAGGGAAATCAAGTGGTAAAGGCTTTCTGACTCACCTGTGTGCCATTTACTGCATGCCAAGGGTGAGAATTCACATATAACTTTCTACTTTGTCATGTGCCTTTTCAAGTGGCTGAGAAACATATCCTCTCAGGCTAAGAAAAGGATCTGGACTACTCAAGGTCTTAAGCTTTATCTTTGTTTAGCAAAATCCTCTACAAAGTGAAGAGGAGAGACAGGCACTTCCTCTCAGAAGGACACACACACCAGCTATCWCCCCCCACCCTAAAAAGGAGGCCCTATTCTCTGTATGGGATGACTTCTCACTGGCACCAAGGGAACCTCAAGTCCAATTACAGACAACTAATTAATGCCTAAAGGTGAAGTAAATCCTACCCTGCAGTTTTCAGTGCAGTGCCTTCCAGCCAGCACAATCCACTACCACCAACACTGCAAGATCTCAGCAGGGGAACACAAAAGTGAAAGCACACAGGGAAAGAGGTTGATTCCAGCCAAAGGAGCCCCTGACCAGCAGTTTTGAACCAGCCTYTGCAGAGGCTGCTGGCTCTGACCACCCAGGAAAAATCTGGCATTCTGGACTAAGGCCTTGGCAAAGCTCGTGTGGAAATGGTGTCAAATATTCAGCKGCTCAAACACCTCCTCTTTACCACRAAGACCTTTCCAGCCAYTGTCCTRACTCCAGASAAGTTATCAGAATATCCACAGACCACTGGCCTTGGAGGGAGTGCAACGGACYCCAGCCAGAGCCAGGTAAGAAAGATGTTACAGCAAATGAAAGCAGGAACATTTTGAAGAAGCAGTTGAGGCATCATTTCTGTCACCAAGCCTCTTTCACTTCTTCTATTAAGCAGGASTATCCTGCAAGCCCATTCTCAGCTTCTTGTCCAGGTCTGCATGTTTTTTTGGGAATCTCAACAATCAGCCCAAGAACTGCTTTTTGATTTATCCATCTCTAAGTCAGCCAGCTGTGCTTCTACTACAGGTGTTTGGTTCCTCTGAGAAAAGAATGACATTTATTTTTTGTGGTTTTCTTTGTGCAGCTGGTTTTGAAGCATTTATTTCTGAGCCCCAAATGGTACCATTATCAATAATGCCACAGAATAGAAGCCAGCCTTACAATAACTAAGTGGCAAGGAGCACATCCACGTAGAGACAGATGTAGAGACCGGATGGAAAGGCAGAAGTCTYTTCTACATCATCCTCCTCCTTTCCCCTGTTCAAACCTTTTTTGGTCAAACAAACATTTCTATGCAAATTTTCAGAGCAGGTTTACAAATAATGTGACTGGATTCTTCTAAAAACAAAAAAAACAACTTAGCGTCTCCTTTCAGGAAAATCTTTCTTCTTGGAAGACAAGTGCTGCTCTTGGAGAGACCATCACTGCTCAGTTGACAGTGCCAGAGATGCATTCAGGACAAGCTGAACACACAGGATGCATCAGACAAGTGCTGGCTTTAGCTCAGCAGCGCTGCAAACTGCGGCTGAAGGAGAGGGAGATAGCAGGGACCATCTGCAGCGTGGTCCCACACAAGAGCTGTGCTCTGTCCCCTGAAGGCAAAACTCATCACCAGCTGCACCACCAGTGTTGTGGATACCAAATGTGCACAGCTCAGGGGCTGGGGGCTGACTGGGCATTTCCCTCTACCACAGCCAGGGAGCTGCAGGYTGGAAACTGCTTCCTCACACAACACTGAAATAGCACCTACAACTCATGACAGCTACAAAAAGGCAGCTGGCACTACCTGAAGCCACAAAGTTTCCGCCTCTGAGTTTCTCAATCTTCTGGGCAGAACTCTTAAAGAACAGAAAAAAAGACAATTTGTATTTGCTAAGAAATCTGTTTCATAAATCAAAGCAAGAACAAACACACACATCTGATGTGACAGTCAGCAAACTGAGCTAATTTTTGTTTACTAGTATCTAAATCTAAACAAAAAACTTTAGATCAAAAGGATAATGGTTCTTTTTTCCCCCTACAACAGCTGAAACATACACCAAAACTAAAACAAAGGATCTCTCCCAAAATTAAGACKCYAAAGAACAGAATYACAGAATCATTAAGGCTGGAAAAGTCCTTCAAGCCCATCAACAGTTACCTTAGCAATTTTCCCCATTTCACAAATGTTTGCTTTCTCATCCTCAAACTCTGCAAAGGCCTCTTGAATCCTGGCAATGATTTCTTCATGATTAGAGCAGACATTCGGGAGTCCTTTAGGGAAGTAGAAACGTGGAATGTTTATGGGCACAGGGGTACTGCTGGTGGCTTTATTCACAGGCACTTTATTCACAGGAGTGCAAGGGCTGACCACGGGCTGCAGGGGGGCTGGGGGTGAAGTTCCTGTCTTCTTGTCTTGTTTACTTTGAACCTGMAAATACAATGAATAACAAACATTGTTTAACAGCATGGCACATGGAGCAGGAAAAAACAGTTTGTGCTTCCAGTGATTAGGAGAAAATTAAAGCTCACCAACAATTAAATTATGGAACAGGGATAAAAATGCATCTTAAATAGGCAATTAAAAAAATCTGCATTATGAACCACTGCAAATTTAGCATGTGTCACACCTGCTTTCATGCCATTTCTGAGCATTTTACATAGGYAGCTGTGGATTATGATTTACTATTGAGTCACAGGAGAACACACTCTGCAACTCAGCAATTCCACAGGCAAGGACAATGCTATTTCTTCTCATGCTGGTCTTGGTCATGTCATTCTGCCCCATGAACAGAAAAGTATCTGCTCTGTAGTATTTTCCCTTGGAACCAGAGCACCCACCCACACAAACGGCTTGCCTCAAGTAGGAGCAARCTTACATTCAAACAAGGACATTTACTATCCCTTGGGAGCAGTATTAGTTTTGCCAAACCGCTGCTTCACAGAAAATAAAGAGGAGATTTTCAAGACTGCCTTCTCAATTTCAGGAAACTTTTTATTCTGTGCCCAACTTAAACAGTCCCAGACCCGATTTTGTTGAAGGTACTGAGCACTGGTAAATGCATTTTTCCATCAGGAATTGGGAGCAGCTAGCACAGTGCCATTAGACATTCACATGATGTCTTTTTCTCACTCCTCTCCTGCCTGTAAGGAACATATGGCTGATATGGTGATCCCCACTGGATTTCCTCTCCAATGGATCTCTAGCTCTAGCTCTACATCACAGGCAGCATTTTATTTAAGTATACAGTGAGAYCCTAAACCAGGGATTTTTTCAGACATGGGAGGGAACATGTTTTAAATTTTGACAAGTAACTACAGTATAAGATGCAAAATCAGCTGCTGGAATGCCAAGGGATGACGAATTCTCTGCTCCTTCATGAAGACACTCACTCTTGGGAAAAGGCAACAGGCTTTCCCACTGCACAAGGCGAGAGCAGTTATTAATGTAACAACATATGTGATAAGGCTCAGAAGGCAACAGTCAAGTAAATACAGCTGCGACTCTGTTTATTCTGTTTCAAAACAAAATGGTTTTAGGATAAAGCAGCCAACTCTGAGTCCACTAAATGCAGAAGAATGTATATGATGAACTGACTAAACTCTTTGCCTTATTATTTTCTATAAACTTGGAGCTTTTTTCTTAACACATGTTGAATCCCTCAGCTAACTATGGGTTTGTTTTCAGTAAGGTAAAGAAGTGAAAAYTGCAAAAGCTCCTTTAAGCACTGATTTTACCTGCAGTTTATAATACTTTATAACACATTCATCAGAGACCAGTGAAAGAAGAGAGAAAAGGATTTTCCTCCTCTTCACTCCCCTGCTTCATGGCTCTTTCTTTAAATGGGAAGACTTCTCTGGTCCCAAATGCTGTCTCGTTTCAGGAGCAGGAACACTGGCACACACATGCTACCAGCCAGAGCACACTTTCTGTCTTTAACCACACATTAACCTGGAGCCTGGGATTCTTCAAGTCATCTTCTCCTGTGTCTTGCAATCCAGGAAAAGCTGGAGATCACTTCAGCCTTTGATATTCCGGTCAATATCAGTATTCAGTGTTAACGGCTCTTAACCTTTGGACAACCAGCCTGATCACCAACATCTGCTCTTCCTCCCCCCTTCCTTGACTGTTCCTACTCAGAAACTGCTCTCCTTTGTGTCTGCTCCTGAGTGATGCTGGAGCTTTGAATGGGGTAGCCTTGAGGCTCAGGGCGTTCCTGGGGCTCACAAGAGCTGGAGGACAGTGAGCATCACATCAGCCCTGGTCATTGTGTCCCACAGCAGGACAGCACAGGTGACCTGAGGTGATGGCAGGGGTTCAGCTGAGGAGAGCTGGACACTCACTTTGGAAGCGCAGTTCACTGGGTTAAATAACACAGCCCTTCTGGCTCCTCCTGCCCTTTCCTCAGTAGAGCACCAAAAGCAAAGCMCAGCCAGGCTGAACGTGTGTGGGGAGGGAGGATGCGGCCCCAGCTAAGGGATCACACAAATCACCGCTGCTACTTTCACCAGCCACCCCCACCCTGCCCTGTCCAGCCAGGGCCTTCTCCAGCCAGGTCCCAGCTCTGCTCAGGAGTTTTCCCTTTCTGGATCCCAGCACAGGGGAAGTCCCTGCCAGTGCCTCACAGCACCATATTCATACAAACAATGCAAAGCTGGAACAGACATCGAGGTGCCGACTGCAGCCACTTGACTTCTATAATAGGACTTCACATCAGTTAGCTCCAAGTCCACTTCTCACAAACAGGTTTATTGCTCCCTAATCTCTTCAGGACACGCAGGCACTCCTGGCTGCCAGCACTGGGAGGAACGAGGAGAAATGACTCAAACTTAACAAAAAGTTCCACAAACCAAGACATTCTTTCAAAGGACACTGACTCTTCACTGTAACAATACATCCCCTTCCCTTACAGTACAAGGGAATGATAAAATTGTATTTTTGTTTTCTTGGCACGTCAAGGGACATCCCCAAGTGGCCCACAGTAGCACTGGGCMATTTTCCTCCTGTTCTGCATGTAACACATCCCGACATGGTACACGGCCTGAGATGACCCTGCTGGAACTCAACTCGCCCCCTCTGCCCAGCTTTCCACCTCCCAAAACTCCTCTGCCTCCAGGTATTCCCAGAGCCAGCAGTGCTTGGCAGTGGCTCACACRAGTCAGGAACAGAGAGGACACATTGATTTCCTGATCCACAACCACCACACAAGCCAGAAGGTCAGACACCTGTAGGAGAAACACAGGGAACTCTGCTGGGCTTCGAAGGAGGGAGCCACTTCAGACTCAGGTTTGAGCTGACCTTCCCAGTAAGACTGACTCACTCCCTCCTGCTCAGTCCAAGCCAAGCTGGGGGCAAGTATTGCTCAGGGACAGCTGCTTTTCACATACTGCCTCAGGAACAGAAATACAATTTTTGAACTTTGTCTTCTTCCTGCTCATCTAAGAAATGAGCTGTTTAAAACACCAAGAGAAAAAAAAAACAAAAAACAAGCAGCAACTAGTCCTTGAGGATTCTGGTCCCTAGAACAACCTTGCAAATTAATACTCTTGGATGAGTATAACCAGATGCAAACCACTATGGGGACAAGAAGAAGTTAATTACAACTTGTTGTGAAAAAAATTAAAGAATGTGGTATGATGGGAAATTATCTGGAAATTCCTTGGAAATAAACAGTTTCTTATTGCATAAAATTAGCCTTAAATGCTGTTTGCCTTGTAGAACACACTTCTACAAATGCACAAGGATGTGCATTTTCAGAGAGGACAGCTAARAAAGAAAATGACACATACCCTAATAAATCTTTCAGCTTTGTTGCCTATAACTAACAAATAAACTTTTTTTCATTTTTGTTCAAGAGGAAAGTGAAACTAAAGGCCACTTTTAAATAACATTTTATAGCATTATGTTAATTTACCCTAACTAGAATCTGTCCATCCACTGTATCACCTTTTGCCAGCTATACAATTTATTTATGGTCAGACAAGAATAGTGACATCTGTGTTATAAATAAACCAGACAGAACTACAGCCTCATTGTAGCTACACAAAGCAGAGACTAAAGCTCTGCCATCCCAGCCTGTCTCCCACGAATGTGCCAGTCCCAGCAGAAAACTCCACGGAAGGACAGAGTATCGCATTAAGTGCTCAAATTCTTTCTACTCCTTCCTCCTGGCCCCAATCTCCAACAGGGTCCTAGATAATATATTTACCAGTTTCTTGCTTTTTTTCCAAATGGGATACTGTAATCTTCTTTTCTAGGGTACAGTGACTCAGCCTGGGCTCTTGCAGTCCACAGTGCTGACTTAATGTCTCCTTTCATTTTTCATAATTCCTGCCTTCCTGAAGTCTGATGGTACCTGGACACAAGCCATCCTCAAAGCTCATCAGAACTGGTTTGTTTCTTTTGCTCGAGACTTTCACTTCCTTTCCTGCCCTGAAGACCTTTCCCATCAATGAACCTTCCTGCTGCCTCTTTCTTACCCCTTTCTAAGGGCAGCAAGAACAAAGGCCCATCTGCACATGGCTCCAAACAACACTATATTTGAGCTATGAGAAAATGCATTTCTGGAGAGAATATTTTCTTCCAGGAAACATAAACTCACCAGTAGAAACAAAGTCYCATCATAGCAAAACAAAAATGAAAACAAACCCTACCTAAGCAACTCAGAATCCCAAAAGGATTTAGGTGGGAGGAGATACAGTGCTAATTTTAAGGTTGGATCAAGTTCCTCATGGCCTTATCCAGTTGAGTTTTGCAAACACAGGCCTCACATGCCTCCACTGACGAGTGTGCCTATAGATCTGGACGTGGCCCTCAGCCCAGCTCAGGCTGGGAACCCACTGGTTGGGCACCAGCCCTGCAGAAAGGTGTGGAGGGGACAGTGAGCAAGCCTGCAGCATGAGCTAATTAAAGATAAGGCAAAGGATGTCCCAGAGTGCCTTGGAAGTAAAGCCAGGAAAACATGGGAAGTTGTTATTATCTCCATGTCTGACACTAGTGAGGCTGCATCTGGGTTGCTGGGACCAGYTTAGGGCCTTCATTTCATAAAAAGAACGAGGAGAGACCAGMCAGATATGYRCAGGAGGGAAATCAGAGAGCTGGGATCAGGATCAGGCAGCAGSAGACACTGAGGGCTGGCCCTGGCTAGCYAGGGAGAGAGGAAGCCAAGGGATGGGCTAAGCACAGCCTGTAGCTCTTAGAAGTGCAGTTACAATGAGGCCAGAACCAAAGTGCAGCTTGGGAGGGTCAGGCTGGAGGGTACTGGGGGTARTACAGCCTGAGAGAGGTCACCAGGAGGGGCAGGTGGGAATCCCTATCCTTGGGGAAAGCCAGTGCTGATGTGACCAATGTTAGAAACAGCATTCTTACACGGGAGATGTTGGATTAGAGACCTTTCTTCCCGCACCCCGCCTCCTCCCCCCTGACACTGC